CCCAATCCCCCTTCCGCTGGCCCCGCCCCTGCCGCCCCACCGCGGGGCCCCCTTCGGGGATGGCGCCGCCAGCGCGAGGACTGAGGGGAGGAGGGAAAGGGGGGGGGGCGTGGCGCTCGCCCGCTCTCCTCTTTCGCCGTTCCTTTCCTCGCCGAGCCTTCCTCCGCCGTCGCCGCCGTCCCCCCTTTCACTCCAAGTGATGAGTTAATCCCTCCATCGTGTGTGCCTGGCTGCCCCTGTGCGCCGGGGTGGGGCAGGGTTGATGCTGCTGCCCCCCGTTGCGACAGGACGCGGCGCCGCGCGGATGAGGGGGTGGGTGAGGGCCGAATTAGCAAGAGCAGCCGTGCGAGTGATTTAACTCGCGAGTCCACGAATGGCGCCCCACCCCACCCTGCCTCGCCCCACCCCGCCCCGCCCATGGCCCGGGTGCGCCTGCCATGACCTCTCGTGCGTGCTAAGTACACGACAATCGTGAATAAAGCCCCTGCTCGCCGCGCCCCGAAAAAATATAATAATAATAAATAAAGGAAACAACTCGACGGGCGGACAACAATAATTAACCGCCAGGAAAATGGAGGCGAGTTGGCGAAGCTAACGAACGAGGGGGAGAGGCGCGACCGTAACTCAAGTGTAACTCAGAGGGAAAAGATGAACAATAACTCAAGTGTAACTCAGAGGAAAAGAGGACATGCAACTAGAATGATGAGGGCGCCGAGCAGGGTTGTAGTTGTAAAATGTGATTATTCGAGACGAATGTAACCGAGTCAGCGCATCCCGAAAGTACATGGATTCATTCGGCAAATTACGGGAGCTCGGCGCCTGCGAGACTCAGCGTAGGCCACCCCGCGGTACACGCATGCGCTGTAGGCAAGATGTTGCCTACGTAGCAGGCGCTATGAGAGCCCACAGAGGCTAAAATTGACAGGGTCATGACGGCAAATTCACAGCAGAAAAATCTTCTTGAATTTCAAGACCCGCGGTCTAGCATGCTATTGGCGTTCCCTCTAAGGTCCAAGTCCAAGGACGAGTCCCCTGCCCTGCTGCCGGAGTCTTGCCCGACGCAGTACCCATTGGTGGACAATGTAAGGGAAGGGGACACTGGACACAATTTCCTCAGCGCCCCCAAAAAATGTTTTCTGGTATCTATGGTTTCCGCTTGGGTTGCCTTTCGTATCGAGAGTAAAAGCTACCTGACACCTTGAAGTCACTTCTTCGTCCTTTATGTTTAGTCGAAGGGTTTTTAAGGTATCATCTGCTAAAAAGTATTTTTGTTGCGTATTAATTTTTATATTGTGTAAATTACGTAAAATGTCTCCTGGAAAATTTTACAATACATTTTCGTAAATCAACGAATTTTCTCATACCTCTACACGCTTTCTTCGCCGTCAACTCATGAAAGTATGTTTGTAACCGATACAACAACCGATCTAGTACTGCAGCGTGCCGTGACACCACTGCACTGCAATTATTATTGCCGGAAACTCCTTCTGTGTCATGGATGTTTGCGTTTGCGAAATCCTGCAACCAATCTGCACGCCAGCCCCCAGGGGTATACCATCCGTGCTGACGGCATTTATTCCGCAGCATGCTGCACATGGAGCGGACCGCGGCGGTCGTCCATAGCAACAACCTCTGGTAGCAAAGCGTAGTGTGGCCGCGCAACCGCCACAGCACAGCAGCCCGATGTTCCAAGATGCTACCACCCACACTCGTGGTCCTAGCACTCATGAGCCATAGCGGCATACTCGGCAAAGCTATTAACTCGATCATGGTAAGTTTGCATGTACACCCTTTTCGGAACGCTGATTCAATGTTGGATTTGTACGTTGTCAACATAGTGTCTTCACCATAACAAGGTTAAAACAAACGACGTCTTGGTTTCCAAGCAGCCAAGCAGCATCTGTTGTGGAAAAAATACATGGAAACGTCTTTGTTTTTTTGCAAAACTCCTTGAAAGTCAAAACGTTGTTTTTCATCGTGAACCGAAGGGTTACTGTGATGCACGCATTTCTTTTGCTAATAGGGCCCTTACATATTTTACCTCGAGCGCATGTACGCGTGTGAACCACAAAAGCAAGCTCTTCCGTGGAGATGGTATTTTCGTACTACTCGCTTCAACCCATATAAACCAAGAGAACCACAACTCCTGACCGGTAATATGACGGGGGATGCAGCAGTTGATGATAGTTGTTCGGTAAGATATTGATCTTAGGGTATTCGTTTATTGTAACTTATTTTGAAAACCGCACCGACCCTGATAAAAGGCGACATTGGGAAATTATGAATTGATTACATGTGCCTATATTTACTTTACGACAGGGGAAAATAAAGGCAGCTGTTTGGTCAAATAATCAATGGAAGGAAAACGCTTTTGTTTTCGCTTTCAAAAACAGAGTGTGCACGTCTCTTAAAGAGAATGTACCATCGGTTTGGGACTTGTTTTTTAAGAGTAGAGAAGAAAAGGGCGATGTCGGCTGCACAATCAAAACGGTAAGTTCTCCAATCCTGCACTTGTCATTGATTATATTTGTTTGTCTAGTTATTTTTGTTCCAACACTAGAGAATGATAAATTTTAAATTTGTGACAACTTCAAATTACAGGGATTTTACGAGTATGATAACGTCCCACTAAGACTGGTTTTCCCCAAAGTTCCTGTACTGACGTATGGGCGCTACAGGGTCACAGTGACGGCTAGCAAGGCTGGAGACCTCTACCACTGCATGGAGGCAGAGGGTAGGGTAACTCCTAAGGTCAACTAAGATCGAAGCTTAGTTTCGTTACCTTTATCGCAGCATCGCAAAACATCTAAGCGTCTAAATAAATCGTCGTAACTCTGTATTATGAACAGGACTTTTATTTTTAGGCTATGCTGCGCATGCACATGTGGAAAGGAAAAGACAGGTGTCTTTCTGCGGGGGATATGGCATCGCAGTGCCTGCTGTGTATCCTAGCCAGCCCGCAGAGTAGTATACAGTCGCCTCACAAACACCCCTTCAAATGTACTCCACACACCCCGACCACACAAGCTTTGGCAGGCAGCCAGGAGGAGAGAGAGAGGGAGAGAGAGAGAGAGAGAGAGAGAGAGAGAGAGAGAGAGAGAGA